AGGCTGTGCTCTTTGATCTTCATCAGTAAATGTTTCAAGTCCTCTTCACTTTCAGCAAGCAAGGTTGTATCATCTGCATATTGCAGATTGTTAATGAGTCATCATCCAATCCTGACGCCACGTTTTTCTTCATATAACCCAGCTTCTCATATTATTTCCTCAGCATACAGGTTGGATAAGTATGTTGAAAGTACACAACCTTGTTGCACACCTTTCCCAATTTTAAAACATTCAGTGTTCCCGTGGTCTGTTCGAACAACTGCTTCTTGGTCCAGTTACAGTTTCCTCCTAAGTATAATTTAAGTGTTCTGGAATACTCATACTTCACATTTTTGTCCATCGCTGTCATGATCCACACAATTGAAAATCTTTGCAAACAATATTCTTATCTATAGTGAAAAACTTGAATTTGTCAAGGACTTCATTTTTCTTGGATCAACTATGAACACTCATGGAAGCAACAGTCAAGAGATCAAATGACGTATAGCATTAGGCAAATCTGTTGCTTACGACCTTTTTAAAGTGTTGAAGAACAAAGATGTCAGCTTGAGGGCTAAGGTGCACTTGACCCAAGCTGTGGTGTTTTCAATAACTTCATATGTATGTGAAAGCTGGACAGTGAATAAGAAAGACCATAGAAGAATTGATACCTTTGAGTTATGGTGTTTGAGGAGAATATTGAAAGTGCCATGAGCTGCCAAAAGAAGCAATAGATCCGTTTTGGAAGAAGTGCAGCCAGAGTGCTCCTGGGAGGCCAAGATGGCCAAACTTCATTTCTCATATTTTGGACATATTGTCAGGAGGTACCAGTCGCTGGAGAATGATATCATGATTTTTAACATAAAGGGTCAGTGAAAAAGAGGAAGACCCCTAATGAGATGGATCGGCCAAGTGGTAGCATTGATGGACTCAAGCATGGCAACAATAGTGTGGTTGGGTCATGATCAGGCAGTGTTTTGTTCTGTTCTGCTGTGCATAAGGTCATTATGGGTCGGTACCACCTTGATGGCTTCTACCAACAACTACAACTGTAGTCTATTCATCTGTTCTTGAATAATTGGGTAGCTCCATGTTCTTGCCCTTATAAATAATGCCGTGATGAATGTAAATATATATATATATATTAATAGACATCTTACTTTGATTGCAAGGGATTTCTCTTGCCCAGGAATACAAACTGCAAAAGTATGAACTGATTACTGTTTGTTTTAAACCAGGAACTGCTCTGCAGCATCGCAGATTTGCTTTTCCCATCTAAAAAACAGCATTCAATAACAAACCATGGACCTACTGCCTTCA